CTCTCTTGATTTTGGTCGGTAAGCTGATCGATATCTATAACTCCCTCTTGAGGTGCTTGCCTACTCGGACTAGAATCATAGCCTGCTGAAGATGGATCGGCAGGAAATTCTGCATGAACTGAATATGCTGACGGAGTTGGCACGCCCATAGTAGCCTGACTGATGCCATTTCTATCATTCAGTTCACTCTGTCTGAAAGTACGGGCTGTCATGTCCCTTTGATTGAAAATTGTAAAGAAATTTTTAATTCTACTCCATATTGAAGCTGTGGAATCAGAGGGCCTCAAGGCTCTCCTTTCTCGGTAAACAAACATGACTACGAAGATAATAAGAGCTGAAAATGCAGCTAGTCCGGCAATCAAAAATAATCCCCAGAAACTATCGAGACTTATGCTATTAGATGAAACTGAGGTGCTGGAATCCGGACAACTGCTTTTCTTGCCAAACCATGCATCCTCTATTTGCTTCATTTTCTCCCCCTCGGTTACGTTTAATATTGCCCTCGATATATCAGGCACTAGAGGAGAACCTTTAGGGAAGACCTGAAGTCACAAAAGGAAAGGATACATGAGAAACTATGCACTTATTAGCCATAGAGGAAATGGAAATACCAAGATTGGAAAGAGATTTTACAAAGCCAAAACCGCCGGTTTTAAATGTAGGATCAATCATGGTATATTTGGAGCAATATCTTGACAGAAAGAGCTTTAGATATGCCACTTCGTCGAAAGCAGCAGCAATACCACCATTTCCACTTCCTTTGGAGAAAAGATCGTGCCATTCTTCTAGAGAACCATACACCAAGAGCTTGGAATTGTCGAAACCCAAGCCTAGCAAGATTTCTAGAACAAAAGAACCCTTCTGGTAGCCAACATACTTTCCATTCTTAATGAGCTCATGTACATCAGTAACTGTAGGCTGTAGCTGCTGGACGGTGAGTAGGCTCGTTAAACTGGCTGTGTAGCTCTGCGTGAGAATCAACACAACGAAACACCATATGATTATCACTGCTCTAGACAAGTTGCTAACCACTCTCTCCCCTGTAAATATAAACATAAAGTCATTTGGTGTTCATATATATTGGAGTGCTATGTAGCTTAGTGGTAATGGTCTCTTGCAACTAGAGATCGCAGGTTCAAATCCTAGCAGACCAGTTGTGTTAGGAGTATTGGGTGTGTGAGTTTATAAAAAAATAAAAAAAGGTGCAACAGGAGAAGGGAGATTACGTTGTGCAAAAACCATTGTCGAGAAGGAAAACCAGAAGCTAGTGCCGGCCTGATCTGAAGCAGACCCTCGAAAATCTTCATTTACTCTGTGCTCAAGAAACCAGACAACAAATCCAATGAAAACAAAGAAACAAAAACTGCTCACCCAAAGGTCCCATGTCAAAGGTTTCATGAAGACCCATGCATTTTTGCTGTTGTTGTCTGCAATAGGAACAATCATGGAGACACCACTTTCTGTGAAAGGCAACGTATAGTCGATGTATAAGGACCTGTTGAAGACAATGGTGATGTCTCCAACCACAGCATCATAATTCTGTTGACAGTAAGCAAAATTAATTGCGAAAGAAACAAGCATGCTTTCGTCAATGTGTATGGTATTCAATGCAATATAAAAAACACAGAATAAGTACAGCAAAAGATAGAATTATGTTTTACCTTTGAGTACACTTGATAGACCAGATCGTTGTAAGTTCCGGCAGGCTTGCCGTCAGGCTTGGCAAAGGGGATGTACTCATAAGGCAAAGCATAAGGCAATGCTTTGACTACAGCGTCAAAAACATCTATGCAGTATCCAGTGACTTTTGTGGTGTTGGAACTAGGATCTTCTGTCACTGCCACAAACTCACTGAAGCCATCCTTCACTGGCACTCCTATTTTCAACTTCTTCCCATTAGTGGGAGTCTCCCAACCCTTGGGAACAGAAGTTATATCCCCTGGAAAAATTACAGTTGAGATACCGGACGCAGAGGTTGAATTCCTAAGTTTGTTTATTCTAGGATTCAATTTTCTTACAAGTCCTTCTGTTGATGTCCAAAATCCAATCTCTCTTCCTCCATTTCCATTCACATTAACTATCTGGAAAACTGGTGATGGCAACTGCCCATCAACAAAAAGGTAATCTCCTGTAAGGCCTTTGAAACTAGTGTTTGATATAGCTTCAAGAAGGTGTGGACCATTTAAAGAGATGCCAAGAGTTGCAAGATCCGTGGACGAATTGCTAGAAACATTTGCCTTTTGGAAGCCAAAATTTGTAGTTCCAGCTTTCTCAACTGCCATGGCCAATGCTGTAGTAGCATCATAGGCCCATAGTCCATAAATGTTCAAATCAGCATCAATGCTATTTGGATTATCTTGTAAGAAATTCCTTTTCCACCGAACTCGAAAACTTTCAAGCTCTTTTGTTCTTGGAACATAAGGTTTAATACCCAATACCCCTTGTATTGTATCAATGACAGAAGGATTTGGTGAAGTCAAGAAATCAGCAGTCAGACCATCAGTCATGATCCAAACATATCCTTCACTCATCATTCCAATCTCTTCAGCTTTGGTGAAAAGCCGAGTTCCAAGAGACCGATACATGTGCACAATGAAAACTCTAGTTTGCATCGTCATCAACTTATAAAGCTCCTTAACAATTTGATCGTCAGTAGCTGATGACGAAATGACACTCCGGTAGGGGACACGAGCATCAACTGCTTGCAAAGCATCAGTCAAATAAGGTATGATTCCTTCTCCATATTCATTGTCGATGTAGATGGGTACTGCTTCTCTCCATCCAAAGGCTTGAACCAATGCACTTATGGCATTCACTTGAGTTGAGTCATTATGTATAGCTCGAAAAAAATAGGAACTCCTAATGGAAGTAAGAGAAGGACTCGTTGCACAAAACGATATTATTGGCACCTGAGCTTTTTCTCCGAGGTCAATAACAAAATTGGCTTGCATTGATGTTGTTGGCCCCAATATTGCTTGCACTTCCACATTTTTTATCAAGTCCAGGGCTGCGTTTCGAAAGGAGAAAAGAAAAATTAAAGACTTGTTACATGAACCTGAGTTGTGCAGCAGAGAAAATGAAAGAATAGGATCGCACTTTCTTATAGGATGATCTTTCTACAGTCATGTTTTAGGTTCTGTGACAGCATAAAATTAACACATATACTTTTCTTGTCTACCCATCCATGCTTCTCTAGCTATGTATTTCTTTCACCATCAATCCAAACTTCATTTTCAGCAAAGTATGACCGTAACTGTTTATATATATATATATATATATATATATATATAAAAATTAGAGGCAAACGATTTTATCAATTTAAACTTTTGTTTTAACTCGAGAAAAAACTATATTAAAGGAAAATGTATGTGTAAATAATCTTGGTTATTAATGTTGATTACATCAGAAGCCGGCCAATAGTCTTGGTTACTTTTATATTGATGTTTTTTGTCAAGTCTATAAATATTTGTTAACAACTTTCAGAATTAATTTAAACTGCAAGTTCTGCAGAAAGTTTTTTCCTTGCATTTTAATAGTTCTGAAGTCAAATGATCTACCATATGAAGATAGCCGCACCTGAAGCATACTAAGGAGACCAATTTGCAAAATTTATAGTCTACAATATCAGACACAAACTAGAGAGTACAGCTCACAAATGCTGACTTTTTGAAAGCAAGATAGAAGACTTTTCTGCGTTTTGACCCTTCTTATCATTGCCAGCACATGGTCAAAACAAGTAGTCATTTCATTAGCAGAGAGGCTTAGACAAAAAGTACCCGCCCTGATATTAAGGCATTGACTCAGGGTTTGCTTCTCAAGTCATCATTTTGGGTTCGAATAGGACGAAAGGTTAAGAAAGATATTTCTAGTAAATATACCGGTTCGAATGTGAATGACTTACTTAAAAAACGATTCGAAATAGAGTTTGTCTAGCTAGATGCGTAAAAACGTGTTCAAGAATACCCTCATCGTCGAAAAAGAATAAGCATGCAGCAGTATCTTCTCATGATCATATTGTGTCAATTACCTAGATTTCAATGATCAAACTATAGTTAATACTGAAATTTATAAATCTCTACTGTTAAAATGTTGCATAATCTGTAAAATTGATAAGAAAATGATTCATAATTACGAGGGGGGCAGAGAGGGAACCTGCAGCAGCTGCACCAACAACATCTTTCTTGAAGTCCCTGGTGGTGAGGACCAGTCTCGTTTTGTAGTCACCATGAGCAGCATAGAAGTCTGAAAGCGCCATGTTGATGCAGCTCAATGAAACATTGGCATCCAAATAATCCAAGTCAAGAACCAGACCTACATTCACTGGGATTGTAGATGTTGTGTTTTGGGCTACTCCCATGTCTAAGAAGATCTTCAAAGAAAGAAAGAAGAAGAAAGATAGAGCAGGTTTAGAAGGGTGCTTTTTCCTGATCATCTTGTCTTCTACCTATGGTTCATGAGCTGATTCTAGCTAGCTAGTTTTCTTGGTTTAAGCTTGAATGGAAAAATGTGTTATTTATAAGATTTTCCTAAAATCTTCAACGTACGGAAGAGTTTAGAACAGTACGTACGTGGGTAGGCCCTATGCATCACTTCGAAGAGAGGAGAAGTTTGCTGATTGTTATTACCAGGAAGCTTCACGTTTTGATTGAATCATGCAAATCTCATAAATAATTTAGGACGTGGACCAAACGCTACAATATCATGCAAATCTAATTAATAGATTTAATTTATATATATACAAAAAACAAACAAATAAATATCTTTTTAGAATTGATCTGGACAGCCTCTGATTCAAATAGGTATTCAAGTCTGAAAACTCTATCGGATTCTAATTGCAGATAAATAGTTTCATTGATGGTTACATTTTATGAAAAAGATGGTCAAAATACATGTGATGTGTTTGCAATGTGTCGTCAATAATGATTTGTATTTGAAACCTGTATCGCATTCCCCACGCTGACGGCTTAATTTATAATTGAAGCACTCTTTTGCTCATACGTGAAATTTCTCAAAACATTTCCTCCATTAATTTTGGTAGTAGAATACGTATATTATTTTTATTCGTTTTAAAAATTATATATTTCTTTTTGAAATTTTTCAATTTATTTTAATTTTTTCGTTTAAGAATAGAAACGAAAAAAAAGTAAGAGAATATGAAAGGATTGTGAGAGAATATGACATTTTATACAATAAAATTAAATTAAATTAAGCATTGCTAGCATCAATTAATAAATTAATAAATTAATTTTTAAAATAAAGATTAAAACGAAGACAAATTCTTGTCTGTTGTTATATATATATATATAATTTTATGTTTAAATCTAATATTCAATAATTTTTCCAAATGAAAATAGGTCATAATTAAAGCTTATAAAGTACTTTTTGTTTTTAAATAATTTATACCTAATATTCAACAATTTGCCGAAATGAAATTGATTTTAAAAATTGTTATCATAAATATATTTGTAAC